TCTACGAGAAAACCATGCAAGATCATGCAGATGTTCTAAGGTGGGGGTCGGCCGTTTTAGTTCATATTCACAGGGTTTGGTCGACCCATCGAGCCTACTCCCCAGCAAAAAATAGACGATTTCAGAAATCAACCGTTTCCAAGATACAGGCCGATTACGTTTTTCAGCTGATTTTTGCCATTTTTAGGCCAAATGTTGGCTATGTTTGTCGCACTACTACCGGTGTTACATGACCCTGCCGAACTAGGTTTTGGTTGTTCGTGATAGTGGGGGTCTAACCCTATCACATTATCATGGTAACCCGGTTCAAGTTCATTTTCCATAGGTGTCTGGACTCTGGAGATACCTGAAATGTACCCTATCTTCAGATCGCGATAACTTCAATGGAGCAGGGTTTGCGATAAAAATTAAAATCAATTTATTTGCAGCTTGTCCAGTTCTAACAACATAAGAAATAAAATCGTTGTCAGCCAGCTTGCAACAGTATGAAAATTCGTGTCGAAAGTGAACAAAAACTTCACTTTTAATTGGTACCCAATCGCCTATATTATTATTCAAAGGGTCAATATATCAACTCCAGCTCCCTTCAACCCGCTTTGCCAAAATATTCAGTCTCGGTGTGGTTTGGAATCCAGTCTACAAATCCAAGATGGCGTCTCCCAGTGAATATGGATTTTCGCTAATTCCCGATCTAAAATGTTGATCCTGATTATTTAAAATTTTTGTTTCTATGAAAAATGAGAAATTTCAATTCACATGATGAAAGTCGACAATTAAGAGTTCAAAATAACAGGTTTTTTTCAACTTCAACATGTATTGAATGTTACTATACTCAATAGTTCATGGTATAACTTGATTGTTGACGTGACAAGGCGTGACCTGACGTGACCTGACGTGCCAAAACACGTCAGTACGCTTTCTGAGTTCTATTTTTTTTTTAGTTTTTTTTTTGGGGGGGGGGGGGATTTAGTCAGAGTTTGCAAGCCAAAACTGTAGATGGTGATGTGACCTCCGTGGATCTATTTATTAAATATAAATGAGTCATTTTTGACAAACAGGAAGTGTTTTTCGGATGGGACACAAAATAATCTAAGATTGTCCATATCTCGATTATTTCTCAACGGATCTTCTTCGGGTTTTCATTTTTCGATTCTTTGGAGGAATCCTGTATGGGCTCTGACTGACAGTTTTTCGAAATTCGGAAGTTCGCTCGATTAGTTTTAGCATCAAAGATCTCCGACACTATTTGAGGTATCAAGTTGAAACTTGGTAGATATAAGGAACACAGATATAGCCAATGTTGTTTTTTTTTCTGAGATTACCTTATTATCACCTGTTTCTGAACATTTGTAAATTGGTATAACGGCTATTGAAATCTTGTCAAAATCTGTGTGAATAATAGTAATCTTAATCCCTTATTATCCATTTTGTAAGGTAGGTAAAAAGTAAATACAATATAGGGCAATTAAAAAGCGGCATATATCATTCTTTATACAGACCTTACTTTTAAAGCAATGATTTGAATGTTTCTGGGCGTATTTGCTGTGTGGCGGAGGGGGTGGGGCAAGCAAAGTCCGATAGCGGCTACGAGCACTGAACGTCTAAGTTTTTAATCCAAGAACGCCGAGTCTTAACTTTTTGTTGACCTTAGTCGACATTAAAATCAAATCAAATGGGGTTTAACGTCCTGCTTTTCTGTACGGTACCTTTGCTAATGAAGACGGGCATGCGCCATTCCGTTGGCTATGAGGGAACTTTTGCCCGGACAGCCAATGGTATACATGGGCCTCAGTTTTCCATTCCAACTGAACGACTAGGAGTTTTTCATCGACAGGCCATCCGTTCTGTATCACCAACAAGGGAAAATCAGGCAGGAAAATCCACGAGGAATTTTCTTGCCGAACACCGAACCTCCTGGTTACTGCGCAAACACCATATCCACTGAGCCCCCGCGGCATATCTTGTTTGAAGACATAACATCCCCATCCCTATTTTGCGCATTGCGACGCTCCCACAGGCCGGAGAATGCGCCACAATACCCATACATTCACCTAAGGGACTGGCACACTAGAGCTTAGAACACTATTCTGCAGATTAGGGCAGTGATGTATTCTCGAAGTATGACGTAGATGGATCGCTGCGTGCAATATGCATGTGACTATATTTCCAGATAAATAAAATCAAAGAAATGTGTATGTTCGCTTATCATGGTTCGCCGCCGCGATCTACAACCACATGTGTGGTAACAAAATGACCACGTGAATGTTTTAGGCTATCGAAATTGGTCCTGGGCCCCGGGCGAGTAACGATTCGACGCCGGGCTCCAACCTCACATATGTGCTATCAACTTAACCAGCAATATCCCGTGAATGTTTTAGGCTATCGAATTTGGGCCTCGGGCAACTTTGGTTAAAGAGAGAATTTTTTTATAGGGCGAATTTGGGTCCAGGGCGAATTTGGCCCTCAGTCAATTGGACCCCTGACGAATTTGGGCCCTAGGCTTATTAAGCCCCTGTCGAATTTCTGCCCCAAGCGAATTTGGGCCACCGGGCGAAGCCGTGTATCCTGCTAGTAGGTAATAATACAGGTAACGTGTTAATGTCCTGATTAACATTCCAAATCTTGCTCTCATATTTATATTCATAAGACATACACCAATAATAAATCATATTTTTTAATTCATTACAGCGATATTGGTGAATGTACATGAATCAAAGTACTATGGTGCTCTCGCTGACATGCATGGTGGTTCAATATCTTCGTATATTAATCATGATATTAATTACCTCTTTTTTATTTGAACTATTCAAGCCTTTCTTCATGAATGCATCGGTTATGGCCCATTGTTTCTTGTGGGATTACGTTATTATCAATTGTGTGTAGAGATAAGGCTTTCGCATCTCTGCGCATTTGTAAATTGTAAATCGTGTCAAAAAGTTCTGTGTGTATAATAGTAAATATTGTATTATTACTTTTAAAATCCCTTATTATCCATGGTGTAAGGTGAGAAAAAAAAAATAAAATTGATTAAAAATTTTCTGGGCGTATTTGCTGTTGTGGGCTGGCATAGGTGGTCGTGGAGGTGGGGTGGTCGTGGAGGTGGGGTGCTGAACCTGTAAGTGTTCACTCTAATGCCCCATTGACACTTTCACGCATTTTGAATCCGCAATGGTAATCATTAATGCGTACCAATGCGGATGGATATCATGTATATTTCACCTGTCAATCAAATAGTTCGTGCCGTTGCTGACCAACCTTTGCTCATAGTATGCAAAATCTGTCCGCACTGGTGCGCATTCGTACCATGTTAGTTGTCTCTCATGTGTCCCGCATTGTCCATCATTGTCCCGTTACAGTACGCAATATTTGCGGATAGATTGCGCACAGTGTGCGCAGGTGTCCGCGCACTTGCGCTATGGTACGCCAGTTCCTGCATTGTCAGGTATTGGTTACGCTAGTGTACTCAGTTTTAAGCATGCGTGACCATTTTGTGAGTCATTTTGTGGCACGCACTGGCACGCTTCATAGAAATAGTATATATAAAGGAAAGGTATTGGGATATGGCCCATTCCGTCGGCATAACGTTAACGTTACGACAACAAAACTTTCCTGGGTCATGTGCCACAAACATTCACAACGAACGTTTTCAAAACGTTAACATTAATGTTTCAGTTAACTTTTCAAGTAACGTTTGTAAAAAACGTTGGCCTTTTGAAAACAAAACTTTCCTGGCTTACGTCAGATGAACATTCAAAACTAACGTGAAATAACCATAATAACTAATGTTTTCAAAACGTTAACGTTAACGTTTTCAATACGTTAACATTAATGTTCAGTAAAGGTATCCTGTAACGTTTGTAAAAACGTTTACGTTACGACAACAAAACTTTCCTGGCCAAACATTCACAACGAACATGAAATAACAGAATAACTAATGTTTTCAAAACGTTAACATTAATGCTCAGTTAACTTATCCTGTTACGTTTGTAAAAAAACGTTGGCCTTGCGACAACAAAACTTTCCTGGCTTACAAAAATGAAATGAAATGAAATGGGGTTTAACGTCCTACTGTTCTGCTCCTATATTTACCTGGGTCACCTGCCCCAAACATTCACAACGAACGTTAAATAACGAAAAAATAATGTTTTAAAACGTTCGGAAAACTAAATTTTGTTAGCTGGGTAGCATGCAACTTTGATGAGAGAAAACGGACAAACATGAGAATACAGACACTCAGCTAGTATGGGTTAAATTTAATTTCAGTGTAGATTGTCAGGGTGAACTGCTTACTAGAATCTACATAATTTAATTTCCTTTGGGTTTTCACTTACTTTCTTTCTTTCAACGAAACAATCCGGCTCAAACTACTCAAAGTGTCTTGAACATATTGTCAAGGTCTTTTCGTTTATCGGGTCTGATCTAATAGACTGTATGATACGTAAACGATTCTCTCTCCATTCTATGTTGTTTTTGGGTAAGCCATAGAAAGATAATCCCCGATTTCTTTTATTGCAGGCGGAACATCCGAACAAAACATAATTCGCGCCAGGCATTTTGTTAGTGCGAGCAGAAACCGGAAGTACGCTGTGCGCGATATCAGCGTCAGAGGCCGGCCGTCACATAAGGTAGTGACGTCAAACGATGGGCGTTCCCGTTAGTATTCTAGTTCTATGTTAAGACGGATCGAAAAACCAAGGCCCACCCGTGTACACGTTAGTATGTACATGCGTACAATAACTCAGAACAGTTGGCGTTCGAGTAACACCACTACCGAGGAAACATTCTATTCTCTACTGATAACTGTAGACTGGTCTCCAAATGACTGCACTGCTGTTTTTGCGAGAGGTAAAATCACGTTCCACCCTTTTTGCATTCATCTTAATTGTATAGGATTATACTGACGAATTGCTTATAATGAAAACCAACCCATTACTAAAACACAATTATCATTATATTCCTTTATAGCCCTTTCACTTCCATGACAACAACGTTCAAACGTGTAAATTTAGAGGTATATTCGATCCTTTTTTTTTCAACATAAAACATAAATACATATAAAAAAAACGTGATAAAATATTTTGTGGTCAAACATTCATAATTAAAACTGTGACCATTATCCTGATAAATCGACCGTTAAATAAATATACAACACTTATTCCATTTGATTTATCGTCTGATAGAATGTCTTCCATAATTTCGCCCGATTTATTTTCAATATCGTCCATATTATTTCCGTCATCATCACCCTCACTGTCAGTGTTTGCTATTCTGGAACTTTCAAAAGTACTGGGTGTCGGTTTATGTGGTATGTTCGAGTCTACGTTCGCTGTGGAACTTTTATTTACTTGAATATTCGTGTCTACACTTCCGATTAAAGGATCACTTCCAGTAGCAGGATCACCACCGTCCCAGTTGCCACAACGTGGAAAATTTGGAGGAGGGCGTGGCATCTGTTGGTAAGAACCGACTTGTATTACTAATCCCATGCCTATTTCTATATGGAACTCTACATGGCAATGGAACAGCCAGAAACCGACATTATTAGCGTGAAATCTGAGAACAGTATAGCCACCATCAGGTACTGTAACACTATCTTTAGTAACAGCACCATGCAATTTCCTAATTATCCCCCCTTGTTTATCCAACTCCATCACGTGCTCTACCGACGTCGAATTGCCTAACTGAAAACAGAGAATATAAAGGTCATTAACTGAATACGTGTTTACGGTCTAAAGGGTTTGAGCAATGTACAGATAAATCTATATTCCCACCAACCGAATTTCATAACTCTTTTCATAAGCCCGGAGAGGAGTTAACATGGGCCTAGCCTGTTCCCCATGAATGAAATAAAATATTGTTTACAAAAACAAAACCTGACAAATGTTTGTTATCGCGAGCCTTGATGCAGTTATGTAATTTTTCACCACAAACCATACCACGCTCAAGGATTGCGTTGATGATGTTATAATCAGCTTAGTCTGCACTTATCAAAACTGACGAATGAATACAATCTGCCATACATACAGCCCCGGGGCATTACCCTGAAATCACAAACTTGTGCAGTTTCGATAAATTATTGTCCATTATTACCATTCTGATCAAACTCGGTATGACAGTCAAATGATCTACGAAAAGAAAGTGTTCCGGGTGACCCATTGGTTTCAGCGCTCACGTCCCTGAGAAAAACAACAGTCATTATGTGTGGCTTAATGGCCGAGAGCGAGACATTAAGTGATATATTGAAACAACAGCTCGAGACTACGTACCTCGTGTTGTTTCAATATATTACTCAATGTCTTAAGCTCGAGACTATTAAACAACTTAAAATACAGACACTTGCACGTGACTTGCAATGAAATACGTCACTCGGGTCCTATATTCTAACTAGTTACACTTGGCACATCAAAGGATGACGTCACATCTGTATTTTAAATCTTAATAAATAAAGCCTTACCCTGTCCATGGCGACCACACGGAATGCGTGGCCATGTAAATGCATGGGGTGATTAGCATTAAAAGCCACGCCCTCATCCACAAGAATAATCTCCACGACATCTCCTAGTGCCACCTGTAGTCGATGTACACACTGGCAGTATTTTACAGTACAGTTGATACTGACTGTTTCACTGTTACAGAACATATCTTCTGACAAATCCGACCACTGACCCAGCGGTGGTGAGGGTGGAAAAATTGTCGAGATGTGATTCATCTGGGGTGACAAGAGTTTCTTCCTCTTCACCACATCAAATATAGAATAGAATTGAGGATGATGAAAATTCTGGTTATCGATGACGTTGAAGTCCATTGCGATATAGAATTGTCTGTCGGGTATTGGTTTTAAAGCTATATCATCTTCGGCTATTGAACATAGTGTTGATACTGGCAGTAGAGTCGGTGTACCGCGACGATTCCATGGGTTCAGTTTCTGAAAAGAGAAACGTTTAAAGTTCTTACATTTCGATAGTATTGACAGTGTGACGAAATTACAAAAGAACACACCTGCAACGTCCTACTGTTCTGCTCCGACTGGGATAATGAAGACGGGCATACGCCATACAGTGTGCTATGAGGGACTTTTTTGCCCGGACAGCGGCGCTACGAGAAACTCTTATATCAGATTCCAACTGCCACGAGATCTTTTACATGCACGCCAATATGTACACAGGACCTCGGTTTTTCGTACCATCCGAACGACCACGCAGGAAAATCCCGAGCAACTTTCTCGGTCAACACCGGGAGCGAACCCGCGACCTCCAGGCTAGCGAGCCAGCGTCTTACTCACTTAGCTACGCTGACTCCCTGTACTTAAAGCAGGCACGTCTCTAACTCAATATCATCCACAGTCTTCGACAAAGCAAACACAACTTATTGGTCAATTTAAATCAACATTGGTGTTGTTATCTTGCCATGAAAAGATGGATCTCTGATATCCAAATTTAATACAAAATGAAAATTTTAAAATTGGCACACGAATCGCGTTACAGAATGCCTTCGGGCGCCATTTGTAATGCAGTAACTTGATGAACGAGGTTAAACATATCCCAAAGAAGAATTCTACATATGTAGACGGGAATAACCAGACACCAAAGATTGCCGAACATAACTGATTAGAAATTACAGCAAACGATTAAATGTAAATCAGTTTTTATACATTCATATTACATTATTATATGCGTTGCTACACATTTGTGTCCATTTGTAGGTGCCAAAGAATAGAAATTTAGCTCCTTTAACTGTTCTGTTAACAAACTGTATCTTTCAACAATATGCATTTCTTTAATCTCTTTTACCCAACAACTTGAAATGAAATGGGGTTTATCCTCCAACTTTTCTTCACCGACTGATCTAATGAAGACGGGCATACGCCATACAGTGTGCTATGGGGAAAATTTTGCCTGGACAGCGGCACTGCCGCCTACTGTTATTTCGAATTCCAACTGTCAAGGTTTGTTTACTTGCACGCCAAGGTATACACGGGAAATCGGTTTTTCGTCCCATCCAAATGACTATACGTTTGAGCACTGACTGGCACTCAGTCCTGAAACACTGACACGGGGGAACCACGCCGGATTATCTCTATGAACGGTCAAGACCAACACGGGGATCAAAAACGGATCTCCAGGTTTAGCAAGCCAACGTCTTACTCACCGAGCCACCACGGCCAGCGAGTTTTCTGTGCACCCCTCTTTTCTAATACCAGTCCTTTGTCATTAACTTATGTCTTCAAAACGGGTATCATTGATGAAAAGGGGCCAATTATAGCAAAAACGATACCCAATAAGTGTTTGTTCAGTGATCAATTTAAATATCAAACAGATGAAAATACACAAAAAGGAAGGCATCTTACCAAACCTGTTCTCCTCCCATCATTATAATCTGGCCTCGTTACCAGATCACGGTGTGCTCCGCTATATTTCAAGATAGCATGTTGTTTGGCTTGTTTGAATGAAGCACCACAGTCCGCCAATCCTCTGACGTGGATTAAGTAATTATCAATGTCTCGGTCAGCGTGAAGAACGAAATCATATCTTTCTCCAGCAAAGATATTAAAAGAGTCTACAATTATGGAGTGGAATGGGTAGCCATCAGAAGAGATCATATAAAGCTGATGGTCTTGTACGGAGAACTGTAGAGGGCAGTTTAAAACGCCATTGCTGGCCACACGAAACCGATATCTTTTTCCTTTCTCCACTTTAAATACTTCTGATGGTGTAAAATGGTTGACTTGAGTTACGGGGTCAGGATACGGCTCCAGAGCACCTTTACCTAAAAAGTCATTTGTCCATAAATTATTGATTAGTTTTTATTATTAGTTTTTATACTACGTAGTATAAAAACTATTGTTTTTGTTCGAATTATTAGTTTTGTATAAAAACTATTGTTTTTGTTCGGATTATATTATTTTTCCTCGCGTTTTTGGAAAAAGTACATATTCTACAGAATTAAACTCTATACTATCCGAAAGGTATTTAGTTGAAAGGGTAAATGAATAAATAAAATTTTAGAAATGTTATCAGGAAGTGACGTCATCAACGAAATTAGACAAATATGAGACATCAAAGGAAACTTTTTTTTTCTCAACCAATTTGAATGCGGTTTTCACCAATTTGTAGCTGTTTGTATTTCTCAACTGTTACTTCCTGACATTGTGACCCCTACGACGCATGCGTATGACGTAATTTTAAGCTCAAATGTGAAAAGTGGGAAAATTCTGAGCGTAACTTTTTTATTTTGGAAGATTTCTACTTGAAACTTTCAGAATACATTACAAATGGGTGGATAAGGCCAAAATTGTCAACAAAAATTTTCCGATTATCTCCCCTTTGAAGATAAAGTCAGATTTTCAACTTCTTTAATTTTGCCTTATTTAAAAATATTTGTCAGTAGGAGTCGTCTATCAACTTTTTAGAGTACTTTCATGAAGTGCCACTATTTTGAAAATGTAAGTAAATCTTCCCAATCCTACTCCTCCTACAATTCCTATCCAATTTTCAATATCGTCAAAGCATTCACAATTCGCAGTCGATCGATCATTTTGAAATTTTGATATTTGACCTACATTTTTTTTAAAAGTGACGTCATAAAATTGACGGTTTTTTTTATAAAAAAAAGTGTAAGACTTTGAAATCAGGTAAAATGTCAATGACAAACGATAAATTGAGTCATTTGGTGCTTATTCTGCAAGTCTCTGCAAAATCGGTTTGTAAATAAAGGTTCTACAGATAAAATAAGTGATCTAAATCGTTTAAAGGGATATTTAAAACCGCTTATCAGGACTTGATAAGCGCGACTATAATGTATTAAACATGGCCGAGTTGTAAAGTACAATGCGCGAAAGAGGAGTACGATTCAAGTTGCTGGATATGTCCATTTTTATCGCCTGTTCTATTTATAAGATTATAATGCTATTAATGGATCGCCTGTTGTCTTTTATATTTCTGCTTATTTTGTAAGGGGGTTGTCTATAATAGAAAGTGCAGGGGGACTGCACCACACATAATTTACATAAAAACAAATACATGGACAAGACATCATACTCAGAAACCACAAATAAACTAGCAATTCAAAAAGAGTGAATGGATCCGGGAGCTAGCCGTAAGCGTCCACTGCGCTGTACAGTCCCGGGCCTGTAGTGACACAGATTTCACTCAAATTTGAAAACAATCAGGAATACAACCCAAAGAAATCATTGTGTAATGTCAGCATGAGTCATGAGGTGGCAGTGTAATGTCAGCATGAGTCATGAGGTGGCAGTGCAATGACGATCCTATAGTTAAGAAGGATAACGTTGCCAATATTATTTCAATGTTCATAGTGCAAACTGCATATGCCAGCAGTTCAAAATACGTATTTTAGTTTTACAATTTGCAATTCCTATTGCTCCACAATACCAATGTCACGGTGTTAGAATACAGAATGCACCTTTCAATAATACAAAATACAGTATAATAGTTATTTTGCACATAACACTAATCTATTCTGCATTTTGCATACTAGACAACTGCGTAATAGAACCTGGCATATTAGAACATATACCTTATATCGGGTCTACGACGAAGCTCATACGGAAATTAATAATTTACGCGATCAATCTACAAGGTCAAGGTCAGTAAAAGGGGCTGAGATCATGCTGGCATACAATAAGTCACCATACAATAAGTCGGCTTACCATTCAATAAGGGCGAATCAAGCTATCATGCAAGCCCCACATTGTTACTTCATAGTCCCGCACCCTTTTCACTTCAACTTTAATCTTTTTATCCTTTTCTTCAAAGTAGGGTAGCTAAGAGGTGAGACGCTGGCTCGCTAGCCTGGAGGTCGCGTTTTCGATCCCTGTATTGGCCGGGAAAGTTGATCGAAACCTGTATACATTTGCGTGCACGTAAAATATCCCTTGTCAGTTAGAATTCGATATAAGAATAGGCCATAATGTCACTGCCCGGGCAAAATTTCCGTCGTAGCACACTGTATGGCGTATACCCATTCCCATTAGCCCGGTTGGAGCATAACAGTAGGACCTTAAACCCCATTTCAAATTTTCAAAATAAGTACCAGAAAATTATTTAATTATTCGAAAAGAGAAATGAACGTGCGTTTTAGTATACGTAACATGATATCTGGAATTCGTATTAAGACAGGTACACGTATGTTTACTAAAAAGGAACTAAATCGCTAATATATGGGACCTACAAATTGAAACAAATGGGTCGTAACGCATATAATAATGTAATATGAATGTATATAAACTGATTTACATTCAATCGTTTCTGATTTTGTTATAATTTCAAATCAGTTATGTTTGGCGAAATACGCCGGAAGTCTCAATCGAATGGCTGTCTCTAGCGTCTGGCTATTCCAGCCTACACCGATAATATTTATTGGGCATGCTTTCCAGATATGGATATGGCATCACCGTTTGAGATAGGTCTAGCCCAGTTCTGGCGCTGAAACGCATTATGGTATACCAATGGTAAAGTGTTTATTTTGTCTTAAATATTGGATATCAGAAGCCCATCTATTCCCGGTAAGATCACAACATCAGTGTGGATTTAAATTCGTGTTTTCTTTCAATGATATTGAGTTAGAGACTTAGCTACTTTAAATACCCCCATCCCCGTCATTTAATAGAGTTTCGTACCACCCGACTTTGAGAGTGGGCGGATGACCGAATGGTTAGCCTGTGCATGTTGTATCATAAGGTCTATCATTGAGTCAACGGGCGTGGTTTCAATTCCCGGTTGTACGTGACAAGGAGTAGGGTCGCCTGTCCAACCTCGTGGGTTTTCTCCGGGTCCTCCTACTACTGAAGACCCCTACGTGCAAGTGAATTATTGAAATTGAACCACATGTACCGAAATGACCTAGTTTGTGTCGAGTGGACGTTAAACACCATCTCTCTCTCTATCTCTCTCTCTCGCTCTCTCACTCTCTCTCTCTCCACCCGACTTTGATCGTTTTTCTTTCCCCTTGTCAGTGATGCAGGACAACGACAACTTTCTAATCGTTCGGATGATACGTAAAAATGATATCCCGTGTACACATTAGCGTGCGTGTAAAAGATCCACTGGCAGTTGGAATTCGATACAGATCCCCTGGCAGTTGGAATAGAGAACGAGAACGAGAACGAGGTGACGTCGTTCTGTGCATTACGTCATCATTTTTAGTGGGGTTTCGCCACGTCTGCTTTCAATCTCGGACGTGAAAACGACTTGAGGACGCCGAAGTCGTAAGTACTTCCGAGTTTATATTACTAGTATTTTACATCAATAAACATAAATTTTGTTACTGTTACGTGTTTACCAAACATGTACCGAACACACGTACAAAGTTTAAGGGACATGAGGCGTTGTTAAACGAAAATATCGTATGTTTTTGTTGGCATAGTAAAAATGACCAAAATGTTACAAAATTGCCGATTGTGGTTCTTCTTGACATTTTTGTTTGTCTGTGTTTCTTACAAATTTTAAATTACTATAAATTTCACACACCATTTTAAACAACTTAGCCTATTTATCATGCCCTTTTTATACATTTTTGGTGCACATTGTCCAGAATTATGTCCAAGCACGGAAGTAGGCTAATGTTGCGTCGTCTGCTAATGCTATGTTTACAAATCGGCGCGCCACCTACAAACAAAGGAACTCGGACGCATTTTTTCTTAACTGCATTTTAGCGTCGAGGCCCACGAGAACGAGAACGACGTCACCTCGTTCTCGTTGTCGTTCTCGGGTCAAATCTTAACCTCTCTATTGTGTGGCAGTACGAGACGCTAGAGGAGGCCACAACCGTTACTAAACACTTTATTCCGATTGTTCTCCACGTCTGTGAATTTCATTTTGGGGGGTACTGTGACATCACGAACGTTATCAATGTCAAGGACTTTCGGCGAGACGTATTCTTGCTTTCTGTTGATGTCAAGGTCGTCTGTGCACAACATAACACTAAAATAGTTGCCTTAAACCAAATATCAAAAATCTAGTCCCAAAAATACCGAGTGTCAAGTTTTTAATTTTGCTGAGTATATGAGTGTTTTCTTCTGTCCAAAATATGGCTTTAGTGACCCTGTAACATAAATAGTTGATTGCTGTGTGTAATAATTAGTCTTTGAATTAATACTGTTGCTTCTTTGTCAAAATTATCTTATAACGGTAATAATCTGGACAGAAATCGACGGCTCGCGCTGTTTATAAGCAAGTCCAATTTGTTTAGCGGTTGCAGTAGTATCGTACAGCAGTATCGAATATTGCACCTGTAATAAAAGGCATGACGTTGTTAGAGCATGGATACTATCTGTAGTTAATATTAATTTTTTATATGTTACTGACGTTGAATCTTTAACGTGCACGAAACAAGAAAATTGGCGATATTTCATTGAATATTCAATCAATTTTTGAACCAGTCCACTCGAAACAAACTAAGTCATTTCGGGACTAACATATGGTTTATTTTTTTATTTCAATAATTCGCTTGCGCGTAGGGGTCTTTAGCAGTGGGAGGAAACCGGAGGACCCGGAGAAAACCCACGAGGTTGGACAGGCGACCCTACTCCTTGTCACGTACAATCGGGGAATCGAAACCCCGCCAGTTGACTCAATGACAGACCGTATGATACAGCGTACGCGTGCGTGTTACCCCCCTCCACATCCCCCTCCCCGTATGAAACCACCGTACAACGGTCAAAAGTATCATGAGTGGCCAAACAAATGGCACTGTATATCGACAAAAGTCCGAAATGGTCATAATCGGAACGTTCTGCATACGTATAA